CCTAAATTTTTTGGTTAGAATTTTTACAGACATTTATTTATTAATTTATACTTTTTTTTTAGAATTTCAGATTAACATGATATTAGTAAGGATATTTAGATTATTATTATCTTTTTTTTTAGTATTAATAAAATAAGATATTTTTTAGTTATTTATTAATGTCTAAGAAATATTATTTATCATTTAAATAGTCAAAATATAAAGATTGTTGATGATGATACTCTTCAATTATTAAATAAATAAAATTTTTTAATTAAAAAAAATATTTCAAATAGTTACAAAAATTTATAACTCAAATATAAAGTTATATAAAGTTATTTTAAAATTAAAACTTATATGATAATTTTGTATAAAATTCTTAATAAAAATTAAATGTATAAAGAATATAATTTTAGATTTGAATTCTTTATCAAAATTATACAAACATTAAAAGGCTATGGAGTTATTTTATTTAAAAAAGTTATTTATAAAAGGATTATTTATTAGAAAGAAAGTTTGTAAATCATAAATGGATTTGAGATTTATAATTATTATATTTCAGTTGAAAATTCCTAATCAATTGAGAGAAGAAATTTATGTAAAAATGCTGTTTTTTCCTAATGTGAATGAGAAGATTGAATCAAAAAAAAACAATATAGAGTGCAAGTGTTTTGATGATTTTTGTATAAGATAAAAATATAAAAATATAAAAAAGAAAAAAAGAATAATAGTAAAAAAAAATCAAGCAATCATTTATAACACATGATTTCCCAATAAGAAAAAATACTATACTATGATAATAAAAGCTGTGTGACCATATAAAATATACTGTATATACTACGCGATTATTAAAGTTTTCTATACTGAATTTTTATTATGAAAACTTTTTTCGTATACTGTATCTCATGCTAATAAAGAGCTTTAATAATAAGTTTTTTCCTATTTCTTCAATTATTATAAAATATTTTTTAATAAAATCTTTAATAGTTTCTATTAATTTTTCAATAGTCTTATCTTCTAATAATTATTTAACAGTAATAATTTGATTCTAAAATACATAACATCCTAATTTGCTGTTGTCTTTTTGTTTTTACATTACATTTTAATAAATATAATTAATTTCAAATTTAAATGTTATAAAAAAGTTTATCGGCTTAAAAAAAATATAATTATCATTTTTCCGAGTATAATTAATCGGGGCATTAAATTATATATAATGTTGGCCAAAATTAAATAAAATTTCGACCAATTTTTATATGCACGTGATTTGTTCGTTTCAAATTTGGGCCAGTTATACGCTTATAACTTTTTTTTTTCGAAAGTCTGACCGGTAATTAAAAAGTTCTCATAAAGAATAAAGTTACCGGGGTTATTAATTTTATTTTATTACAATTTTTATTGTCGAGTTAAAGACGATACCATATATTTTTATTAGATAACATATATAAATGATACTTCAATTTATCGCTAAACTTTGATATTCGTAGAAAATCAGATTGAAAGATTAATCTTATTGCTAAAATATCAAAAACTAAAACGCAAAAACCAAAAAAATTTAATTCTTTCTCTACTTTCGCAATGACCGATTTCGTATTTTTAATTATCAGCCTTTAAATTACGCCAACATCCCGACAGTTTTTAGCCTAGCATATTTTGCTTGTAATATTATTGTTAGGGGGCTCGCCAGCCAAAATAATTTACTATATAATTTATATAATTATAGTTTAGTTGGATTACAAAATACATCACTTACTCATGAAGCCAATTTTCGTTCCGACTTTATCAAAGATTTTATATTGGAATACTAACATTTTCATTTAAGAATGGTTGAAATCACAAATAATTATTTACTAATGCCGATTTAAATGAATATTTGCATATAATTAACCTAAAAAAAGTTAGTTCATTTTTTAATTACGATAATCTTTTCTTTGGGAATCTGCAGGTAAACAAAGAAACATTAGCAATTGATCAACTCTATTACAATTTACACAAGAATAATTTGAGATTTACCTAATTTATATTTTCAAAAATAAGCATAAATATTTATCTATTTTTTTTTGTGATGGCGCTTTTTGTGATTTCAAGATTCCCGCCTGAATTGAAATAATTCTTCCTCTTCTCATCTTCTGAATTTTTACAGAAAGAGTTTTGTGTTAATTTTTAAGTAAAAAAAAAAAAAAAAAGAGAGGTATCTGGGGGAAAAAATCAATATCGATATAACTTTTTCTATTGTATATAATGATCGGGAAAGTTTTTCCGATGAAATAATTCACTGAGTAGGGAGGGGCTAAGCAAATTTTACAACGTTACTTACCTTTTGTACAATGAATTGCAATTATGTAAAATTAAGTAACTAAACAAGAAGTTGTACCTATTATGCAAAATTGTCGTACTTTGGCGTTGTGAGTACTAACAATTGAATATAATTTGTTAGATAATCTATATAATAAGTAGGCATTACCACAATTTTTTTACCAAAAAGAAATCTCTCTTTTTTTTTCTCGTCCTTGTAAATATTTAGCATTTTGTAGATAATTCTAAATTGTAACGAAAGAATTTTTCGACATGGCTCGCTTTCCACTTTTAATAAAAATTGCAAACGTATTGGCTTATGTTTTTCTTACTGGAGCCAACGTATACTCCGGCTTTGGTCCTGAACAGGTATTTATTTTTTATACAAAAGAAAAAGAATTTGTTGAAATAGGCTTACGTTTATTATTAATATAATAGGATGATTCTCCATACCGTACAAACCATCCAACCTATATTTCTCCAGCTTCTTTTGTATTTGGTATTGGGGGTCTCATACATTTCTTGTTAGGTGGTTACGGTAAATATAATTAATATATATATATATTTGTCCTTTTTATTTTTTGATAAAAAAAATTTAACGAATTATTCCCTTTACCAATTTATGTAGTTATCTATCAATTCTTCAGCTCTAATCAAGAAGTTGTTGAAGATGGCGTTGGCTGGAAATTTGTTGGAATTTCCTTGTTGAACACTTTATGGCTTGCTCTCTGGGTATGCATTTTACAGCGCCACTTTCATGTAATTCAACGTAGCGCACTATATTTTTACTTACATTATATTAATAATTATGTATATATATATAGCAAGGCGATCATCTTTTCCTTGCATTGATTACTATTTTTATAACTTATTCACTAGTTTCAAGGGTTTATTATCTTATCAAAACGGATTATGCCGGAGGCAGTTTTAACGAAAAAGTCTTTATTCACGCACCATTCTCTCTTTATAATGCATGGATCTATGTAATGTTTATTATTAGCATTTACGCTGCCTTCTTACCTGTTAAGGAGGAGGATGAATCACCAAGCATTTTAGTTAAATCATTTGTTGTTTTGGGATTATTTATCCTTTCCTTTAAAGCTTCAATTGTTTACATCGAAGCTGCACAGGGCGACATTGTTGGTGCTGTTGTAATTGCTTTTACTTTGTACGGAATCTTCGTTGAACAGACGGATCCAGTTATTCATTGGACCGCTCTTGGTTTTGCTATTATTACTTCAATTCACATCTTGAAACCTTTCTATCTTAAATACGTCCGTGGTGAAGAAGGCGAAAGAGCTCGATTGTTACCATAAAAAAAAAGTCTCTTTAAAACTTTGTTCTTTAATTGATAAAAAACTAAATTCATTATAGTTTAATAAATATATGAAATCGTTTTAATAAAAACCTTTTTCAAACTTTCTTCCGATATATTCAAACTTTTTAAATATTCTGCTTTAAGACTGGCTATTTCATTCGAAGTAATTTTGATAATTATATTCAATCTAATACTTTGTTTAATAAACATCATTAACCCTTAATCTGTAACGTAGGCAAATTTGCTTGCATAACATAATGAAACGTTAACCTTTTTACATTGAATAAAAAAAATACACAGATATTAATTTTAATTTTTCTTTATTTATCTTTATTTATCATGTACAGAAACTTTCTTCCTGCATTTTAACATAATGTGTAGCATAGAAATAAGAGCTTTTCTGAGATTCACCAATTCATTATCAATATCAATCACATAATATATGATTTTTAAACATAAATAACTTTGTTATATTAAACTATGATTCTTTGATATTAAAAGTAACCTATAACTGTAATCCTAATCATCTATGATAATTTAAAATATTATTTTATCTTTTAGCAAAATTTCATATATTCAATTTGATAAATGTATTATATCTCTAATTAATATTATACCTATAATCTTAAATTTAAAATAAACATAATTCTTTTTGTAAAAATATAATAAATACTTTATGTATAGTAATAAGTATATTAAAATTTTATATAAAAATAGACAAATAAAGAATTTAAATATAAAAATAAAGAATTAAAAGAATATGTTTATGATAATAAATAGAAAAAGTATTATAAAGCTTCATAATATATCTATTAATTTTTGATTAGAATATTATCTTTAAATAAAAATAATTGATTTTTTATTATAAGAAAGTTTTAATAAATTATTACAAAAAATATTATCAAAAATATAAAAAAATAACTTTAACAATTATAAATAAATTTTTTAAAGAACTATTTTTTTTTTTATTATTATAAATGCAAATAAAATATTGATATTTTTTTCAAAAAAAATTATTTATATAAATGAATAAAATATATTATAAAAATATAAAAATATATACTCTATAAATGTCAAAAAAGATCAGCATAATAATTTTGTAAATTATTCTACTTAAATTGTAAGTTTAATATTAAAATATGTAATATTTTATTTGATACTTTTTATTAATTATTATAAACATATCTTTACTTAGAATTAAATAGTTTTAAATGTAAATTTTTATTTAATTATTATTTAGTTATTTTAGTTATTTTATAAAATTACTTATTTAAATAATAAATAATATATAAAAAAATATTTCTATAATATTAATTATTAATTATAACTTGTTAAGCAAAGGCAAAAGAATAATATTACGAAAAATATAAGTAAACCCAGATCCAGTTGAACCAGAGGATGTTAACCATCACCAGTTTCTACCAATTCGCTGTCTGATGACTGACATGAAGCTTGGTGGCCTACCTTTACGAGTAGAAAGTTCACCACCTGAGGGTAAGTGAGGCCTTTCTAGTCGCATCTCTGCTGACCGATCACTCTTGATGGCAAACTGGCAAACAGGATTGCGTTGAGGAGGTCACCGTCATTGCCCAATAAAAAATTTGATATAAAAATTCCATAAAAATATTAAGTTTTATAACGTATAACTTTTATGGAAAATCA